ATCCTACTCTATATAATCCGCTAAGTATGTCTGTCCGTGTGTGTGTGTGTGTGTGTGTGTATGTTTGTGTGTGCGTCTGTCTGTGTGTCACGAAATTCATAGCGCCTGTCCCAGTAGCAGTGAGACAATGATTTCAAGAAGTGATGTACGGGGTGTGACGGGAACACTATTGGTAGGTGAGAATTTATATCAATTGATAAGATTCGATAAGGGGCTGTAGAAGGAGAAGGTCACTATAATCATAACGCAAGTGACAGCATCAGCCTGCTCTCGATCTTGAGATATGATATAGAGGATAGTCCAAGAACATCATTAGTGGGTCACAAAAACTGTAAGCTGCTGATAAGATTCGATAAGGGGCGTTAGAAGGAAAAGGTTACCATATTCACAGCGCAGGTCACAGCAGCAGTCAGCTCTTGATTTCGAGATATGATATAGGATGAGGGCCAAAATCATTATTGGTGGGTAAAAAGATTTGTGAACTGCTGATAAGATTCGATAAGGGACGTTAGAATAGTGAGGTCATCGTATTCATAGCGCAGGTCACAGTATCAGCGAGGCGTGCGTTTCAGCAAGTGATATAGAGAGTGAGTTGGGAAAATCAACCGTGGGTGATTAGAAGCGATAACTACTGATAGGGGCTGATAATGGAGGTTGCAGTCGTCGTCGCTGTTCAAGGCGGTTCACGCTCTCAAATGATAGAGATTTAGTGAATTTAGTGATGAGGACATTGATGACGGGTGACAGGTAATCTTATCAATCGATAAAAATTGATACGATACCATCTGCGCTAACCTCTCACCGCTTTAATGCCGAGTATTCGAGGCTCAGATTGTGAAACTTTCCTTTGGCCAACACTTTCCTGATAACACTAGAAAATGAACTCATCCCACTATCCTACTCTATATAATGTCGATGTCGACGAGCGGGGGGGGGGGGGGGGGGGCACACAATAACTATGAAAACGTATATCCCACGGGCGTACAGAATGCATATAGTGGCTATATAAAACCAAAATCATACAACCCCAGCTTTCTAGGAGAAAAAAATAAAATTCCAAACCGCCGCAAAACGACGCCCCGATGCCTCAGTACCTCATGTGTTTCACACAAGGATGCTGTACCCTGTCTGTGTTGTATGGCCGTTATGGCGCGGACGCAAGTATAAGCGTTTACTATGGAACGCAGGATCCGCAGGGTTGCTCTATCTGTTATGATTGTACCAATACAGAGCTGTATGAGCAACGCAGTGATTGAAAGAGTTCCGTTCCCCATTATGGAGCGCGCCTGGCGAAGCCAGGCCAGCTCGGCGAAGCCGAGCCAGAGAGAAGGAGGAGAGCTCGGCGTCAGCCGGGCGATCCGACTGGTTAAGAAAATATTCGATATAAATATGTTCCAACCTTAGGTGGGTGTAATGGCAAGTGACACGCTTACCATCGAGGCGGGGTAAAATCGGGTCGACTGCACGCCTAGGCGCAAAAAAAGAATTTTACTCGCAGGGAACGGTAAATTGATACCAGATTCGTCTGGGAGGATAGGAACAGGGACTTGTACATAGGCTGGTCCCAACAGGTCACATTGTAGCATTGCATTCAATAAGCCACTGCGATTCTGAATGGAAGTACGTTGCGTGCCGCGTCTCACAAACGGGAGTGAACAGCGATGACTTTATCCTTTCATTCCCTTCTGAAATGAGGCGGCCACAACATCTCATCTCGATCCGAAACCGCACGTGCACCTGGTTCGACGTGGCCGGCATCCGCTCCGTACGTAGCTAAACAATTCTTCGATTCGCACTGAACTTTCCTCAAAGGCAGTTGGCACGATGATTTCCTACTTAGCCTAAAATGCTAGTAGGGCGCTGTATAGTGGGGAAATGGCGAAAGAACGGAGTGAAACGGTCAAAATCCGGCGAAGAAAAAGCCTCCGTTCTCAAGTGATTTGTAACTGGTTCTGGACGAATCCCGTACGCATCTTGCCATCACCGCTACAAAGATACGGCTGCATATGTGTACCCATATATGCATGCAGCATCACCGCCGCTTCATACCAATCCCTTTGCTTCATAATTTGCTCAGCAAATGAATGAATACGAGCGTCAGAAACGGTCGTCCGTTTGTGGGCGGGCAAAGGAAGGCGTTTTCCGCGACGTCAAAGTTGTTGCTGGGGCGGTTAAGAGGTACCCTTCCTGGAAAAGGCTTCACGCAGCGCCTGTCCGAGGTCACGGAATTCTGTTAAGCCAGTTGTACAAATCCTACACCTGTATAGCGATTTATCGTGCCAACTGCCTTTAAGGATTGTGTGGGAGGGGGTTAAGTGGCACTGACTCGTACACCGGCAATGGTCTCGGCAAGGGTTTCATAGAGGCTCACGCATTCGAACTTCCACTCCGAGTTCGGGTAGAAGTAAAATTCGCGAAAATTGGCGCAATCACCTTGGTCTTCATCACATTGAAAAGGAGTGGAATGATCACAAATATTCAGCCGATTTTGCCGTTCACGATTTGGCTTCACGTCCACTTTGTCTCGAGGACTGTGGAGCATTTGGATATGCATATGCAGCCTTTACATGACAAACGGATAGACCTTGTTATTTCTTTCTTCTTGGAAAGAGGTGAGGTGAGGGGGGGGGAAGGTGAAGAGGGGAGTCACTAGAAAAGAACGCCAAACGATTCCTTTTGCAAAACTGGGATTACTGCAATTTGACAGCCCCTTTTTAGGCAAAGAAATAGATTCTTGGTTCCTACCCACAGCTCCTTCGCTCTTACAGGCTTAGAACAAGAAACTTATCTCCAACGCTCCAGTTTGCATCAGTATCCTTCAACGTGCTCCTCTTACCTCTTTAAGCCGACTTGGCGCTGGACTTTCAGTCCGAAAATTCGCACGAAAGGTGGTGGGGCAGTGCAGCGGCTTACCTCGCCCAGGGTGAGCTGGTCAAATGCCAGATCGGCTCCGTACGCGCCTAACTACGACTCCCACCCTATGGAAACGCTGTTAACTGGAATAGAGACCACACTGGGAGGGGTTAGAAGCACTGCCTTTGTAAGGCGGCTGGTGCTCGCACGGCATTTTCTGTAGGCAGCAATCGCATTGCAGCGTTTCACTGCGATTCGATTGAAAGTAAAGTAAATCCATGGCGCAGCCCCAGAGAAGATGATCAATAACCGGATGGCAGTTTGCAGATTCGATCGCAGTTCGTTTGATGGGGGCACCCGAGATGGTGGCTCACCTTTGTGGCTATCCTCGATGTACTGTATAAAATGCCTTGCGAGGACCAGCCGGTATAAAAGCCAGTACTTCTGGCCTCCCAGTCTGTCTCTTGCCAGTTAATGGGTTTCAGTGGGGTGGCCTGGTTGGCCCGGATGGGAGCCCGATCTGGTAGGAGGAGCACTTTTGAAGGATCCTTGATGCAAAACTGGGGTTGGAGATGAAGTTTTTGTCCAAGCCTAGGAGCGAAGGAGCTCTGGGTGGGAACCAAGAACCTATTTCTTTGCACAAAAAGGGGCTGTCAAATTGCAGTTATCCCAGTTTTGCAAAAGGAATCCTCCGGGTGCTCTGGTCACTACCTACCTCCCCCCACCTCACCTCTTTCTCAAGAAGAAAGGAAATAACAAGGTGATCCGTTCGTGTCATGTAAACGCTACATGTGCATATCCAAATGCTCCACAGTCCTGAGACCGAGCGGAATGCGTGGCGCACGGCAAAATCGTTGAATATTTGTGATTATTCCACTCCTTTTCAACGTGATGAAGACTAGGGTGGTTGCGCGAATTTTACTTCAACCCGAACTCGTAGTGGAAGTTTGAATGCGATGAGGTCTATAGAAGCCCTTGCGGAGACATGCCGGTGTACGGAACTAGGGTATTTAACCTCCCACACTAGTATCTTACCAGTCAACGAATTTCAGCGGGATCGAAGATCAGCTAGTACGGGCACTCGACCAGTGAGTGCACCGTGGGTTTCGGATGGAGATGAGATGTGGCTCATTTCAGAAGGGAATGAAAGGATAAAGTCATCGCTGTTCAACCCCTTTGTGAGACGCGGCACGCAATGTACTTCCATTCAGAATCGCAGTGGCTTATTGAATGCAATGCTACAATGTGACCTGCTGGGACCAGCCTATGTACAAGTCCCTGTTCCTATCCTCCCAGACGAATCTGGTATCAATTTACCGTTCCCTGGAGTAAAAGGATTGGTTGGCCTAGGCGGGAGTCGACCCGGGATTTGACCCCAGGACCGCTCGAGTATTAAGCGTGTCACTTGCCACTACACCACCTACGTTTCGAAGGCGACATATGTATATCTGAATACTCCATAATCCTGAGATGAAGTAGAATGCGTGGCGCGCCCCAAAATCAAGGTATTCATGATCATTACACTCTTTTTTGAAGTGATGAACACCAAGGTGTCTAGGCGATTTCGGGTGGAAATGCTCAGCCAAAATCCTTGGCTCATTTCAGAAGGGGATAGAAGCCAACAATTTCATATTTCCTTTTCTTTTATTATTACTATTAACGATTCATAGAATTTGTTTTTATTTGGCACTTCTTTAACGTTCTTTAAGGTGAGCTGAGTTTCAGATCGTGAAACGAAGAGTGGCGATTCCAGTTATGGAATTCGAACAGCGAACATTAAAATTCACGCTGACTAAATCCAGAAAGAAAGACGGTTAGTTAATTGTGGAGATGGTTGTCAGTATTATTTTATTCATCACTTATTTACTTAATTATCGCACGTGTAATTGATACAAAATAACAAAGCACCCTGACTGTCTGAAGTTATCACTCGAAAAAGAAAAGAGCAGAAGAAAGAGCGCGGAAGTGAATTTCACGAAGAATAGCTCTCTGAGCGTAGCTCACCTGCGAGCTCTGTCTTCTACGCGTATTGTACAGTCTGCAGCACGGCTCGTGGAGAGGGTGTGTCTACGGAGCTGGTTGTGAGCGCGACGGTTGCTCCAATTCTGTGAACAATTACCGGTTCAGACAGAGAAGCTCATGGGTACAGTGAAAGTAACTTGAGCGTTCTTTTACCCAAACGCTCCATATATCTGCCTGAACCGGTAACGCTCCAGCGCTGTCATGCTTACGATCACGCCCGAGGACACGCCTTTTCCATTCTTTCCATGATGCTGTAGGGATGAAATCAAACAAATAATGGTTCCTGGTAGCCTTTTATTTGTGTACTGAAGTAATACTCCTTAATACTGGGCCAAGTCGTAGGCACATAGTCAGAGTTTAACCGGCTGACCCTCTCAATGTAACGCAGTAGGTCCCTAGGTTCACCGACCTCAACGGTTTTTTTTCTAAATTCAGTTAAAAGTTTAGGAGTTTGAAGAAGTTGGAAACAAAAAAATCACCTTGAAGATTGTTCATTTCAGATTTCGGTATTGTATTAGGCTGCAGATTCTATATAAAGGAGATTCGAAATCCAAAATTAGCAGAGAAAGTAAGTAGCCAGTGTTCCCACAGTTTCAGTTCACCTTTTCTCCAAATGTAAAGTAACCGGGTCTTCGTTTCAGGATCCAGGTTTGAGAGAAGGTGATTCAGTGCTACGGATAAATGGACAGAGTGTCGATGGGTCGACGCTTGAGGAAGTCAATAAGTGGCTTGAAAAGTAATTTTTTAAGTCAATATCAGTGGTAATGAGTTTGTTCGAGCTGGAAATTTGCGCACAAACTTTTCATTTTTCTGCTGTTTTCATTTGCAAATTTTATTTATATTTTTTTACAAGATTATTATTGATGTGAGAAAGGCTAGAATGGAGGGTTGTGTCTTATAGTTAGCAAGTAATAATTGAACATGTGCTTGGATTATGTGTGCAGTTTTGGGACGATTATAGCCGTCGAATTAGAGGTTGTGTGAGTTGATTTCCGACTTCCGAAAAACTGCTGTATTCGGAACAGCAGCGAAGTTTATCAAGGTCGGAATTTCGCTCTGCATTTCGCTCACTTCCGACTTTCGAACCGTTTTTGAGTCTTCTTTTCGACACCCTACACTTGAACCGCCTTCCGAAATAAACTTTGGCGCTCTTTGGCTCAGGCGGGACGCGGGTGCGGCGAAGTGGACTTTTGTACTTTCCCTAGCTCGTGGTAACAAGAAGTCCCACTATCAGCAGATCTGTAAACACTTGTGAACCTGAATGGTAGTGAATCACTTTGATCACAGCAGTCCACAGGTCTTCACAAGGAGAGTTGTTTACGTGTTGCTGATTATCATTTGGCCCCCACCAAGCCCAAAAACCTCCCGAGCTTTTTCAATTATCTTTTACTGATCTGTCGACGAAGTGAGTCGCTGCGAGTTGCTTCTTGGTTGATATCAACGCGAATCCTTCCTTTAACTCCATCTTTAGAGTTTACATTGATTTCATGTACTTATACTGCGTTTCAGGTCTACTTAGAGAAAAATTGTGCCTAGTTATACAGCGTGATGTTCGTCGTGGGACGAGCAGATGGCCTAGTCAGAATACGGTATATGAACGGGTGGGTTCGGTGTCGGCAACGCCGCGACACAGTCCGAGCCCTATGATGGCGCATCAACCATTATCGCAAAGGTGAGCTATCTATTTTCTTATTTACTCATTTGTTTATTTACTTAGCTAAATGCACTCATAGTTGCGTCGCATTGTGACATTCGGTCTGAATATGTTTTGTAAATCAATGTGTTCGCAATATATCAATTTTTCTGGACCTAACAAATGTTTGGTCAGAAGATATAAATTATTTGGTGCCTTCTCATGTGCTTCTGCATTTTCATTCTGATCGCCAGTGTGTTGAAATAGTGTTATTGATGTTGACGCGCTTAAAAATTCATATCTGCTCCTTCCATATACAACAAGCTATAGTAAAGGGCAGCTAATTGGAAGGGTCTGAAACTTCTACGAGTCACCCATTCTTGGAACCAGATTCAGTGTTTACCAGTTGGTTGTATTCCAGTTATTCCATTTTGGTGTCGCTTGTTTCTTCAATTCAATTCATTTTGTGGTGTCGGAGGAGGGGGCGGGGCAGCCTTAAAAAGTCTGGTGCAAAACATGGAAATAGATTTATAGAGATACAGTGGTGAAATTTTATTCACTCCCCGTAGGCTTCTCGGCCTTTCAGCTCAAGCAGAACGCTTCATCTCCACGTTATACCGGTCCATTTACTCAAGGAGTCTTTCTAAGCTTTAAGGTTATCAGCGCTCTTGTTTATTTAGTGAGATAGAGAAAAATTTTTTTTATTTTTCTATGCATCTTACCCAGCGGACACGCACAGTCGGCCAGAAAGCATTCAAGAAAAAATCAAGATCGCGGTGGAATCGCCAGGATTTTTTTGATTGCTCAATTTTGTATTGTCAATTTCGACTACCTATTATTTTTGATAGTTGATTGGAGGTGTCTAGCCTTCTCCTCCCTTCCCTAGAGAGCAAAAATCGACAAAGTCTGATAAAGTGAAGTGTTCGATCGGTTGTGGAAAGGGGTCGCACCGGAGGAGAAAATTGGGCGGGGTTATATTCAGGTAAAGTTCTCCTCAAACACAGGACATGCGGAGACAGGGCATTTTGACACTTCATAGCCTTTCGCGGCTATGTGCAGCAGTTTTACTGAAGTCATGAAAGGGCAAATTCTTTCTCCTCGATCCCGTTTTGGGATGGGGCTCACAATCTCTATATTCAGAATCATTCAATGCGGATCTATGCAATGACTTGTGGGGACCAGCCAATGTATTAGTCAGTCGTCTTGTCCTTCCAGACGAGTCTGGTGCCAACTTGCCGTTTTCGGAAGGTGGACACGCTTGATCTGTCTGAATCGGAGACTAACCGGACTTGATTCCCGGATCGTATGCGTGGGAGTGTGAACCTGTCTTAACCACCTCCTCCTTAGCCCTCCCCCCTGTTTAACTTCTGATAAAATGAATCAAGGATGTCTTTTTGTCTACTGTCTAGTCGCCTCGATGGATGTGTTGCGGATGGCATGTATTTCAGCAGACTTTATTCATTGAGAAGAGAGTACTGATTCTGACTATAGAGGTACAGCATCGTGATGGGTGATAATGGATGTAATTGTGCGATCCCGTCTTCCACCTCCCTTCGAGGGGACGGTGTAAGTGCGACCCCCCCACCTAAGTGAGGGTCTCTGTACGACCCCTTACCTCCCTTCCCCAGCACCCATGCCAGTTTCCCACACTTCCCGTTTTTCATAATAAGAACTCGGAAAGTGTGCGAAATTGTGGTGGGTGGTGCTAATGACATTTTCTGAAATTTCCCCAACTTTCTACACTAATTCGCGGGATTCCCGAACAACCCCCCCCAGCGCGACAACGTACACTCCCTGCTGTGTTTCATACAAAAAAAAAAACGGGGATGCTTGTATCTTGTTCTGGTAGCTGACAACTAAGCGCTCTATTCTAATAGATATTTCTGTCTTCTTTGGTTAATCGTTCAGAATATTCGCTGCTGTTGGTTTATCAATAGATGCGCATTGAGAATTCTTTCTACCCGACATGAATCATAAATGACAAACGCATCTGAAATATTGTTTCACAATTTCGGAAACCTCGAGACAGATGAATCACGTTTGCTGTGGGTCTATTGCATGGTCACCAGGTGTAACAAGGATTGTAAACGGCGGCAGAATCGTAATAATCTCGTGTAATTTAGGAGGAGTAGGAGGGAATGAATGGGAATCAATAAATCGATATCTGTATAGGATGAATGTTTGTTCATAAAGGGTGAATAAGTAAGTAAAAAGTAGACGAATGGTTTCTATACCTTGGGTTGATCCTTCATATAACAGATTTGGCCTTCCCCTCCAGGGCACCATCATCGTTGTGACGGCAGGGATCGTATCTGGCCGTCGGGGAAGGGGGTCGTACTTCACCTTGAGAAAGATTTTTCTGGTTTTCTGATTGTTTCACGTGCGTTTCGCCTTGTATACCCACAGCTCTCCCTTCTCCACCCAACCCCCTCCCCCTCCCTTCCCCAGCTCGACGGCAAAATTTTGGGAAACTTCAATGTTTTGGAAGGAGTCGCACGGGAGGAGGATCGTCGTCTGCACAAATTCCCCACAACCCGATCCAAGGCGTGTTTGTCTATTGAAGGAGTTGTAGGGCCAAACGATGTACAAATCATTGTTTCAATCCTCCCTAAGGAGCGTGATCCCAGTTCCCAAGAGGCTCCCGAATAGTGTAATACGCAGTTGGGCCCAGGCAGGATTTGACCCGATGGCGTGCTACAAGGTGTCGGCACCATTCGCTGCTACTTCACGCGTCCCTTTTTTGGTAATCATAGTAAAATAAATTTCGATTTTCCCTGTCAACTTATCGCGAAATTTATTTGGTTGCGGCGAGAGCATAGAAAAGTTTTGTGGATTGGGAGGGGCAAGTATACAATTCTGCGACAGTGCCACAGTAGGAGCAGCTTTTAAGGGGATGGCAGTTCCGTGGTGGATGGAGAAATCATTATTAGTGACAAATTGGAATCTCCGAAGTGGCTAACCTACCCTTGAGCGTCCATCCCATCTCAGCATCGCGGACTGCTACACAGATTCGGGAAAGTGGCGCAGATTCACAGATTGTCCTGTCTCGAGGCGCATAGCACTCGTGGAGAATAAGGGACAAAGGTTTTGACGTTGATCGATCCCTTTCTGTTATGCACCATGCATTCTACCTCCATTGTGAATCGGAAAGGCATTTGAATGCGATAAGCCTACACATTTATTTGCGGGGCCAGCCAATGTATAACCCCATCCAGTTGAGTGCGGTACGGATTGAAAGCCTCCGGAGTGCTGCCAGAATTGTTTGACCTAGACGAGGGGCGACCAGGAACTTGACCCTCGACCGTACGCGTTGGAAGCGCCGCTCCCCGCTAGTGCACCGTCTCCGCGCGCAGAATCTGGCGATAGAATTTCAGCACAGATCAACCGGGCCATATTCAGACGACCCTCGTGCAGGGCCAGGATCGGAGAATGAGGAAATTTTTTTCTAAGCCTTAGGAGCAGTTGGCGCCCCCAAACACTCACCGCGCCGTCCGGCCATATCTTGAAACTGAGAAAACGTTGCATTTCCACCGTTTACTGCTTGTTTGTTCATGTTCTTTCCAAATTTTGATTTACTTAAATAAAATTGAAAACTATGTAGCTCAGCGAATTGATGAAGTATGTAGCTCAGCGAATTGAAATTGTTCATATAATTATAATTGTATTTTCTTTCCCGTATATACACGGTCTCTCGTGCTACAGTACTCCTTCGAACTGCTTGTTTAGCTTCAGATCTTCGCACGAGTACATTAACTCACCACGTTGGCGTGATGGCAGTCTGGTGGATGAGCGTCGTGTGTCAAGTCCGGCTGTGTCCAGTATAGGTGCCGTGTCAGCACAAAATGCCCCCTCATCAGGAAGCGCCTATGTTCAACCGCAAGCGTTCCCAATGCCTATGGGAGAATATGAGTACTACAGTAGACAAAAACCGATACCAGATCAAAACGGTGTGAGGACCGTAAATTTTCGAAAGGTGGGTTCGCTATGTTTCATATGTTCTTTATTATGTTTATATACCTTTCAAGGGTAATTGTTCATTTGTTTGCCTTGAAGGGAGAAGGAAGAGATATGACCTACTGATGGTGTTCAAAATTCTGAAAGATTTCGTAAAAATAAGTGTAGAGGACTTCACGAGAAAATCACATTTCATTTATTTGTTTTCGTAAATAAATAAATGTAAACTAAGGGTGTAAGGGGGTGTCGAAGGCGCCCCTTAAGTCCTAGGGCGCAAACTATATTTCGTGGAGCGATGTTGCTCTTTAGGTTCGCGTTCTTGGTACCTTTTTTAATATTAGGGAACAGAAC